CTTGTTGTTATAAAGGAGTAAGTTGTTTTCACACCACGCGCATCGCGCATGATTGTTAAACATCATTATGTCGATTATTTGTCACGCTTTCTACTGGTTGGTTAAATGCGTCCATGCAACAAAATGATTGTAACACTATTTTTATATGTCACAATGAACAAATAGAGAGGACCCGGGTTTACATTGATATTACCTAGCACACTCAAATGGATAAAAGGTGTTTAAATAATATCGATCATGATCTGTTGGTAACATATTTACGTAATTTTATCCACATTGCCTTACACATACTGGACAAATACAGTCAACGTCAACCAGCACATGTGTCCAATTATATAATATATTTGGGATAACGTAATACAGGAAAGTTACACCATACATATACTTTGTGGCGCAGTAAAATGCTTCAATTATGTGGCATTAGATATGGCCAGAAGCGGGCGCACTATGCTCATTCACATAACGTTTACAGCTCGTGTTTATCGGAATTGAACGGAATGAGATATAACATCTCTTACACGTGGCAGGGTATCCTAGATTTCATGATATAAATTAAAGTTTATCGAAGAATGAGCTATGTTAGGAGCGTTGCTTTTTGTGACCTATCATTCATGTGAGAATGATAAGTTGATATTCTGCCTGCGTTGACTCCCGTTGCGTAGAAAAACAGCGTGATTGTAGTGACACGGGAGTTTTTTCTAAACAAGATTTTTTTTTTTTTTTTTTTTTTTAGCCGTTCATTTCAAAATCCTATTTTTTTAAAAACCAAATGTCACTATTACGGGTAAAGCTTTGAAAATCACGGCTAGACTCTAAATTTATATTGCTTACCGTTAATTGATTAATTGAAATTACGCCAAAAACCAAAATACTAGTAGTTTTCGGAAAAACATTACAATTTCACTTGGCAGTCGTTCAAGTTAGCCATGGACCAATTTATTATTTGCTTATGTATTACATTTGTGTATTTAAATTTATCATTTTATTATTTATTTATTTGCATACGTACATATATTCAGTACGATTTTTTGTTTATTTACTTGTGTTGACTTGTGTTTATTTACTTCGGGGACATCGAATAATTAGCAAGCTTAGAACAGCGCCCCCAACTGCCAGTTCAAAGTATCCTTTCAAAATGACTGGTCACTCACCCTTTTGATTTTGTGCCTAATTTTGGTTCGTTTTTGACTCATTTGGCTCAGATTAGGCTCGTTTTCAGTTATTTTGGCTTGTTTTGGGGGTAGTCTGGGTCGTTCCATGTTTTGTCAATGGCCGAAGTTGTTCTCATTGTAGTGCCACTTCTCATTAATTGCCGGCATTTCTAAAAACTACAATTTTTTGTTTTACTAATATTAACTTTATTTTTCCATTTAGCTGAATACCATTATAAACCATTCAACAGTCTTCAACAGTAAACCAACTGTATTCGAACTAAATAATATAAAATCGTCAGTTAATAGTAAGTAAAACAATTCAGTTTAACCAACATATACACCTAGAAAATCGATGCTCCAAAAAGTCAACAAGGTCGTTAATAAATAAGGCAGACAAAAGAGTTTACAAGATAGAACCTCGTTGAACCTCATTTAGACATTTCAACGTTTCCGTTACCCCTTTTGGGCTTCATACACGAGATTTTTATTGTACCGTAATATACTACATACATGTACTCGTATACCTTATTATTCGCCCACGGGATCATGGGAAGTCATTAGATATTCAAAATGGAGGGCGGTGGAGGTTCCGGTAAAAGAGGTTTACCAAAATTGAGGGAATTATTACGCAGACAGAGAAGAGATTCCGATGTAAGTATAATATACATGTTGTTTGCATATCAGGTTAGCTTATACGAAAAAATCGTGCCGCTGATGATTCAGGTTTGCAAGAATATTACAAAAAAGTATCTCCCAGGCAGTTCGCTCATACTTCGATATAAACATAGACCTTAGAAGTCTTTGATATAAACAAGGCGACCAGTTGTCTTACGATCAATATCGGGGATGTTTGGTTCGGACCAGTGTCACATCGCCTCTATTATTTATGGCACTAATCTTCGTGTGGGCATGTTGCAGTGTAAGTCGTGCATTTGTTCAAAGACTGGACAAGATTAAAATTCAGCATTAATTCGGAAAGCTTACTGCATTTGATGAAAAAATATATGTGATAATCTACCATAAAAATTTGACAACCTAATTATTTAGTTGATTTTCGTAATGTATTAGCTTTTAAAATTTCGGCCGATCGCAGAATTGTGCTGTTTTTAGTTCTTCAAAGTTTCATCCACCTTGAATTTATCTTCTTGGACCAATGGGTTGACTTCAATTTAGTCTTCATCAAATGAAAACAAAAAAGGTTGAACCACAGTCCTTCTATAGAGAGACTGTGGTTGAACTGACGGTAAATGGTGTTAGTGAGAAGTCACAACATCTTGTAATTCATAGATGTACACACAAAAATATCTTTGTATTCAAAGGTTTTAACAACATTTTTGCATGAAATGCAGTTCCTCATCCCCTTGGCTATTATCATAAATTTTTATGTGGTTAAGATTGGTTACGGTATGCACAAAGTAAAAAGATTTGATTTAAACTTCTCACTACTGACAAAAACAGATGGCTGCTATTTTTAGGGAAATCACTGACTGGTAAAATTGCAAGATATTTTATATTTTACATATTACTCAGTCTCTACAGGTTATATATGAAGGAAATATTGTGTATGTTATTGTTAATATTTTTTTAGTTCTCTATAATGCTATTGATGTAACATTGTTAGTCTATGGAGAGGACACATAGCTGTTGGCTTTATCTTTGTCATGAAAAACATTTTCCGGTTTTATTTTCAGACTCAATGTGATATGCCAGATTTGAATTTTGAATATGATGATTCTGACAAGTACATCAATGAAATTGCAGGTATTGTTGTCATGACAATTGTCATGAAATGTTACTGTTTGCAAGTACTGCATATCCAAATGTAATAGAAACATAATAGCATGTGTGATTAGCCAGTCTGTATCATAGCATGTGTGGCCAACCAGTCTGTATCATAGCATGTATGGGTAACCAGTCTGTATCATAGCATGTATGGGC